TCGCGAATTACTTGGTACGACCTCTGCAGATGAAAGGCAATCTTTGGTCGCGCCTCTTTATTCAATTTAGTGTACGCGCTACATGGCGGAAAGTAAGAAATTAAATCACGCCGCGCGGAATCAATTAAAGCTGCGAAAACAAGAGAGAGAGAAAGAGAGCACGAAAATAGCCGCACGTGGAGAGATGCAACAAAATGCTTCAAGAACGTAATCCGCTCGAAACCGACGTATCCCGCTTTACACGTTTGCGCTTAAGTCGAAATTGTCGCGCGATCAGATATTCCCTTTCCCTACGCGAACTGCCGTTGTGTAAAACAAACATATCGGCGTTTCTCTTGGTCCGTGTGAGAATCTCGCGTTTGTCTCGCACACGCGTTTCGCATAAACGCAGAGAGAAATTAATTTTTTTTTACACTCGAACGCGTGATGGACGCAATCTGAAGAGATGGTTTTTGCATGGCGCTTTTTATAAGAGAGAAATTTAAATTTTTCGTATCAAAAAAAAAAAAGAAAAAAATTATTTCTCGTTGAAGCAAAAAAGGTAATACAAATTTTTTTTTCACTTGTATGAAATATCACAAGCACGTGTGCAACTTGCGAAAAACTCGTTATGTTTGCACAATCCGGTTACGTAATATTACAATCTCCGTTTCTCTCAAAAGAGCTGAAAAAACTTAATATTTGTTGAAATTTTGAGCGTTTTTTTTTGTTTCAAGTACGTACATTTGTTTCTTTACCACTTGCTAATTAACATCTCGCTAATTAACATCCTTCAGGTGTTTCCAAACCATCAAGAACCATCCGTGTATCGGTTTCCCGGTCGTGAATCCTCCGCGCGGTGCAACGTATCCCCGCTTGTGTACACCCGACACTCCGATCACGTTTCTCACGATTCAACCCCTACATATATGCGTGTGTGCCTGCGTGTGATGCGAGCGAGCGAGCGCCTTTGCGAACAGTATATGCTTGTGTGGATATGTGTGTGTGTGTGTGTGTGTGTGTGTGTGTATATATATATATGAGTGTATTGAGATGCGTGTAATGTGGATTCGTACACAATATCAATTAACGTGCACAAGAACAATACTGCCACGAGATTGCGTGCAGGGCGGGTTCGTGCAGAGAGCCGCACGGAGCATTGACAGTGTGACAGACCTGGCTTTAATAGACACAACTTTAGCCCCGACGGCCATGTTCTCTTTAATGTAGATCGGGCCATACACTACGTGGTCCCATACGGGCGGATTATTCGCACGGTCCACAACGTCAATCTGTACCTCCACCGTTCGCGACAAGGGTGGGTAGCCCCTGTCTTTGGCCATCGCCTCCAGCTTGTACGTCTCGCGCTACGGCCAGACCGCGTGTATAACAAACGGGAACAAAAAACAACGGCGTTAGTGTTAAGGCGCCAAGGCTCGTGGCGTAGAGAGAGGTGTGGTACACATCATTGTGGTGTGTACGCATCGGTTGCTCCTCGTCGTGTACTAAAAAAAAAAAATTTTTTTCCGCGGAAGCAGAAGAGCAAGCTTTCCTTTCTCTCTCGCATCTGCTGGGCCTGATGACCGAACGCCAACGCCTGGAATGTTTTGGCGCGAGCGCGAGCTCGCATTATGTTGTGTTGTTTTATTTATTTATTTTTTATATTTTTTTTTTTCGTGTTGCACGCACCGATTCGCTCGTACGGCGAAACAACTACATGTGGCAAACAATTGAGAGAGGCTCTCGCACGAGATTAGCGTTGCGTGGTTGCTCGAACACGCAGTAGGCTGTAAGGCACTGAACGGAAACTTGTGATGAGCGGTCTGATGGACGGTTCGACGCTCCGCAACCTGTATTCTGCGCGTGAACACAATCGCAAAAAAAAGGATCTCTCTCACCAGGATCTCTCGCTACAAGTCCTCGCCTAAACCTACATTAGCAAGCGCCTACATGAGAGAGGCGCCGTGAGGTCATCGCTCCGCCACCCCGTATTTGCACAGTTGTGCTTGTTATTGCGTAAGTCCCGCTATGAGATCCGACGCGGCGATCGCTGCTTCCTCGGAGTCTGTCTGAAGAAAAACCGTTCTATCTCGTCGTTACTCTTTTCAAAGAAGAAAGTGGAGTAAGTTACACGGCAAACGAACAAACGGCGACAATAAGCCGGCCGGCTGAATAAGCCAACAAGTTGACAATTATTCGAAATCTTCTCTGTTGGAATATCAAATTGAGAAGTTGCACCCGGTTTAAAAGAGACTTACTCCACTTGGAAAATTCAATTTTCCGAACGAACGTTCGCTGTCTTCAGACATCGCTCTCGAAGAGCGATCGCCGCGGCTCGCTACAGTACATGTTGGGAAAAGATAGTGGTAAAAGTAATAGTAGTAGTAGTAGTAGTAGTTAGGAGAAGGAGTGTCCGCCAATCAGCGATCTACCGCGCCGCGCTTAACCATAAGTGCCCTCCGCAAACCAGAAAGAAAGAAAATGCGTGTGAGTGTAAAAAACAAAAAAAAACAAAAAAGAAAACTAAGCGTACGAATAAAATCACGAACAGGGGTATCAACTGAGATTGGATGACGTGATAAAAAAAAAAGAAACAAAGAGAATTCTGCTAAAGCAAAAGTGGGGAAGTACACCAGAAAGTAAGTGCAAGCGGATAAAGGGGATCAACGGAATACTTGTATGTAATTGAAAAAACGCAACAATACAAGTCAAAGTTCAAAATAATTGGCAGATATAGAAAAGAGAGAGAGAGAGAGAGAGAGAGAGAGAGAGAGAGAAAGAGAGACAGAAAGAGAGAAGGAGAGGCAGCACTTGCATGGCACGGCACGGCATGTCACGTGTCTTGTCTCGGTCATGTCGTGGCATACAAACCTGGCTTTCACCGCCGTCACTACAGTACCCACTGTGACATTTTCTTTGATGTGAATGGGGCCGTATACATTCTGATCCCACACAGGTGGTTTATTGTTTCTGTCTACGACGTCTAACTCAACGTCCACGTCTGCGGACAAGACTGGTATCCCTCTGTCGGAGGCCCGTACTCGAAGGCGATAGCTGTCACGCTAGTGGCAAAACATTGGGCCGTCAACTCACAGGACACTTCTTTCGGGATTTTTAAGTTGGCGGTTTTTTTTTTTTTGAAATTTTTATACTTATTCCGTTTCGTCGCTTTTCTTTTTTTTTTTTTTTACTGTTTCTTTTAATTGTCTTTTTTTTCGTTTTCGTCCTTTCTGTTGGAGTTTTTGTTTTCTTTTTTTTTTTTTTTTTTTTTTAAACAAAAGATCTAAGGCGTCACTCGGCGTCGAGCGCGTCGTCTACATGAGAAAGTACTCTCGGCGACCTTTCTGTTTTTTTTTTTTTTTTTTGAACTCGCGAGCGAAATTGAAACGGAAGATGAAAAGAGAAAGACAAACAGACAGAAAGATAGACAGAAAAACAGAGAGAAAGGACCGTGCAGTCTCGTAGGTATCCTGGTGACTATTAAGTTTCCGTGTTATCTCGGTGATATTTTTTGTAAATAACTTTCTTTCCGAATTAGATAATGAGTGTAATACTCAAGGGATAATTGTTTCTCCTGCAATGAACTCAAACATGCTTTGAGGATGAGTACATACAAATTTCGTGAAAATATTTGCAACATATAAGTGGCGATAATGACGATGATGATGACGAAGATCATGTGACGACGACGACGACGACGATGATGATAGTAATGATGAAGATTACATCGCCGACTTCTGTTGGTTAAACAATAAAAATCGATACATTTAGACAGAATATTGATGTGAAAACATAGATAATAAAAAGACAACGAATAATTTTTAACAAACGACTATAGATAAGTCGTCGAAATTTTTTAACAAATGTAGACGATGTAATCGCGTGATGTTATACTTACCTTTCACATGCGCGTGTGTACATATTTGAGCTCATTGCTACCATTAGTTTGCAATTATTCTTTACGCAATTTGTGTATCAAATATATCAAGAGACGATAAACAAAAACTGCAATAAATATTTCTTACTCGTCCGAGATACCACGGAAAAATGGAAAGTATACCAGATGCTCCAGAATTACTTTTCTTAATTACAAATTGTTTTCGTGACGCAAATAACTGATGTTTCGTTATTTCAGACTATAAAACTACGTAATTTAGAACAAATGGAAGAAAACACTTATTTGTTTGACATTTACACAATTTGCGCGATAAAGATTTTACTTTTTTATTTTATCTTGGCAATATAGTTTAGATTATGGCAGAAAGATAAAGAGTAATTTTAAAACATCTAGTATATAATAAAATAACAGCGGGTGAATAGTATTTGAACTTATAGTTAAAACTTTATAAACTATAACAACTGAAAACTTTCTATTGTCTACAAAAAAGGTTTAAACTTCTAATTTTTAATATAAAATAAATTTAATATTAACAAAAAAAACTGATTTTGTTTTCTATTCACCTGCTGTTTGTACAGGGTGAACAATATCGCGAGATGTCTTATTATATCGAAAAACTTTAATTTACAATCGTCATCCCGTCGTTTCCAAGCGAACACTTTTCTTTTGCAAATTGGAATCTTGTTGCAATCTCATAAGATTTTTAGTAATGAGAACTATCAGCTTCCTGGAACATTAAAAGTAATTATTGAAGCTGTTCCAGTAGTGGAACTGAATCCCTGTACAGTATTCGATGTGTCGATGATATCCCACGGACGTTAACGTACAATATAATTTTTTAAGTGTTTATGATTCTAAAAGAGAACGTGATAATGTGTTGATGCAGAGTGAAAAAATTATATATTCATTAGTGTAAATTATTTTTAACAAATCAGACTAATGTTTAACTCAATCGCATTGATGATAGCAATTGATAAATTGATCAAAACTAGATAACAAAACATCTGTAATAATAAGAAGAAAGAGAAACTTATTATAAAACATTTTTAATTATAATAAAATTAAAAGTTAATTTATTTAAATGTGTTTCAACGTATTAATGAACTTCAATTCATATTTCAACACATAAAATACGTTTTTAATGTTTTGAATATTGAAAAAATAAAACCTAAGAAATCAAAAGTGACTCTTTGATTGCTTTTGTCACGTTGAGAAAACGATATGTTTTTTGACAGGTTTTACATACATATATGTATATATGTAAAAAGAAGTGGAAAAACAGAGAGAACACAGTTTCGTCGATTTGATACACTGTCAAACGTCCGTTGGATATTCAGCACCGCGTAAATGTTGATTGACAATTCATCGGTGCGTGACATCGACACAACAATAGGCATCATCCTTCACTTACAGATACATACGAGACCAGGATGAAAGAGCAATTAATAGACAGCGCGGTGACACGTGTGTATGTATATGAAAGATACATCGCGCGTGATATAAAGTTTCGAACACAAAAAAGAAAAAAAAGATAGTTGATAAAAGTTTACATAAAGAAAGAGTTTTGTTAGAAACTAACAAGAAAAAAAAAGAGAGAAGAAGAGTAGAGCAGAGTAGACAGAGAAAAAGTGAGAGAGAGAGAGAGAGAGAGAGAGAGAGAGAAATAGAAAGAGAGAGAAAGAGAAAAAGAGAGTGACGTCTCCGAGTGACAATGTAACAACAACAGAGGCGAAAAATCATCGAAACGATATAATATATATATGTATATATATTGAATAATTGAACGGAAAGACGCTCTATTATTTGCAACGAATTATTATACTTCTTCTTTTGCGCAGATATAACAATGCTGTCACATCATAATGTGTCTCGATGCAAGGTGTGAAACACAAGAATATAGATCCTACTTACTGGAAAACAGCCCTTTTTTTTTTGTCATCATCAAATCCGAAGAAAGTAAATGGTGCAATGAACACAAACATAAACAATAAGAAGTTCAAATTAGTTCCTTTACGAAATCAACCAATGCAGGCATTTGCATGCAAGCGAGAATGCGATAAAGAGGCATCGGGAGACGACGAGAAGGAGAGAGGGGGAAGAAAAAGGGGGAAAGAGTGAGGGTTTGACAGAGGGCGGAGGGTTGACAGGGTTGAGACTCGGGTGGGAAAAAAAAAAAACTATGACGACCCCTCGTCTGATTCGTTCTCCGTTTTTTTTTTGGTTTTTTTGTTTTTTTTTTCTTTTTAACGACACTCAAAAACCGATGGACGTTATTTCTGATTCGTCGTGATATATATATATAGTTTAATCCGCACGTGTGTTTCCGACTTTTCTTTCATTCCGTGATTACTTCCGTTCACTTTCATTCGCTTTCTTCCCGTTTCGCCACGACAGTGGTATGCCGCCCCAATCACAGAAGAAAAAATGTCACACCACGGAGTTCTCTTATGATCTATGTACATATGCATATATATATATATACACATGTTTATACATTGGTAAACGCTCTCGATCAAAAATACGTGTTCTTTTCCTTTGCTTTGTCAGTCACGTCGTGTTACACCGGGAGAGCGGGATGAAAATCGGGATACTTTAGAGAAGAGAGAGAAAGAGAGAGAGAGAGAGAGAGAAAGAGAGAAAAGTAGAAAAAAACAGTAACAAATATAGAGTAAATTAAATGACTGCAAAAAGTAAAGAACGCAAGCTTTTTGTCAGATTAAACGTACAGATTCAATAACGCAAAGACGTAGATAGATAAATAGAGAAACTTATTAAGAGAAACTAATCAACACAGAGAGAACAAAATCAGTAACTTAATGGCAAGCATATTTCACAAACTTTATTGAGAAAATCCAAAATGCATCACCCACAAATGAAAGAAATAAATTTCAGAAATTAACGATAATTCTAAACAAAAAGTAAAAAAGAGAGAAACAGAGAGAGAGAGAAAGAGAAAGAGAGAAATACAGAGAGAAAGAGAAAGGGCAAGGACGGATGTAGGAGCGAGAGCGAGATCCGTTCCTGTAAAGGAATCAAAAACACATTCATATAAAATATGCAAGCATTGTCAAAAATTGTTTATGTCTGATGCACCACAAAATGCGTAGAGGTTGAAGTACACCGTACGTGGGGCTCAAAAAATGTCGTTCCCACCTGCTCCTGGAAGTTCAAAAAACATCACTTCCCTTTTGAAAAACATTCACAATTAATAATGTTAGTTGATTAATTAAAAGATCATTAGTTTGGATCCGAACGTTACCACTTTTCTTTTGTCATGTCCCTTATCAATCATTGTTTTTTTTTTTTTTTTTTTATTCTTTCTTTCTCATTTTGTTTTCCCGATTCTCCAACGCGTAACACGTACAAAAATCATTTTTTTTCTTTGGCTACTTTTGGGAAACGTATGAAAAGTGCACACGTTCGCGTTCGGTCGACCGTGCGCACACACATACGCGGCCGATCCGTACATAGGCGTTTTTCTTTTTTTCCTTTCTTTGTTTTCGTTCTAGTTTTTTTTTTTTTTTTGTTTTTTTTTTTACAAAATCACACGCGTCGGCATATTACAAACACGCCAAATCGATCGAGAAATCATCAATTGGCGTCACGGCGGAAAACCGGAAAAAACGCGGCAAAACGAACGACGAACAAAAAAATGAAAATCTAAGTGAATAGAAAAAGAAGGACGGAAATGAGAAAAATAGATCCGCGCGCGTGTTTCCTCTGATTTGTTTGTTTGATTCTTTTTCTTTTTTTTTCTTTTTTTTTTTTTTTAACTCGACCGTAAACTCTCGAACGTATACGAATTCTCGGCAAAAAGTGAATGAAAAAACTGGACAAGAGGTATCAAAGCTTTCGTTTGGAATCGTTTAAAAAGGTACTCGCGCCGCGAGTATGTTCTCAATAGAGAGAATGAGAGAGACAGAGAGAGAGTGTTTTGTTGCAAAAATAGCCCGAACGGTCGATCGATTCAGGTACATGAAGCGTTTGAGGAAATCAGGCATAGCTAAGTATTTACCATAGTGAACACATTGTGCATATCAATGGGAATTAAAAAGTTCTATACATGTGCCGTAAAAAGGAAACTCATTTTGTTGCATATTAGTGATGAGAGAAATAATTGCCGACCAAAACGTATATATTATATAGTATACAAGTTTAAATCCGCTCAGCAACAAAACGGATATTCGTGGTAAATATAAAACGTAAGTCAACGCAAACGTATACAATATATTCGGCAGAAGGTGTACACTCAAGTTTCTTGTAGTATTTATATATACGATATCATATATATATATATAAATATATATATATATACGTATATGTATAAATAGATATAGTATATATCTACGGTAGCCTACACATTCCTGGGACACGCGACACTTTTGTTTCGAGGGACGAGAGAAAATCGCGTTAGAGAAAATCACGTTCTTTCTTCCCGGAGATATACGATAAAAAAAAAAAAAACAACACATGTGTGTGTGTGTGTATGTTAAAAAAAAAAAAAATCTCTCGCGCGCGCGATTTGTGACGCTAGATATAAAAACTGTCGAGAATCGCTGAGAGTGTTTGAGACACGTCAAGAGCCAAAAAGAAGCTAGCATAAGCCGCAAAGAAAAATTGCAAGCCTCGCCCACGAAAAAGTGGGAGTGTTCCAGGAAAAACTGATGCTGTCCATACTGCTAAAGAGAGACGATATGTAGATGAGCGATTTATATATATATATATACATATACATATATATATATATATGTATATATATATAGTTGAGGAGATACTCACGTCCAGAGGTTTCTTTAACACGATCCAACCAGATTCTGGTTGGATCTCGAAGTACTCCAGATTCTGCTTGTTGGTGGTCGAACTGAGAGAGTAAACGATCGCCCCGTTGTTGTCAGCATCCTCGTCGGATGCCGACACTCTCAGTATGTTTGTTCCGATGCTCGCGTCTTGCTTCACGTTCTCCACGTATCTCTGTTGAAAAAGCGGAGAAAAGCGGAGTCTTTTAAACTTCGTTTATTAAAAGTTTGCGTGTGCGCGCGCGCGCGCGTTTTGAAAAATGTTATTAAAAATTTCAAGGAACGCAAATGTGTGTTTTTTCCGCTTGCGTCAGCTTTTGCGTTGAAAAATTCGAATATCGGTACAAAGTACATGTAAAAGGTTTAACGCGCGGAAGTGGGCCAAGTCTCCATAATTTATGAGATCCACTTTAGATACGCGGTCTTTATGTTGCGGACTTTACAAATTATAGACCCGTTTGAAAGTGGAGAGGCACTTGTTGTGCCTCCGCGCGAAACTGCTCGTACACGTATATTAAATCGATAGACGATATAACGGGGGTATGTATTTTGCTCGAGTAAACCGGCGAGAAAGCAGCTCGAAGTTAGAGAGCACATGAGGGTTGAATTATGTCGCGCATCGATGCATAACGCAATAAACACACTACCGCCGGTAGTTCGCCGGTCGGTCACGCTTCGTATTTCCGCGAAACATCTGCTCTTGCTTTTCTACCCCCTTTGGTTCTCCAAACATTTGCTCCCCGAGCATTTTGGCGTACGCACCTGACGGTCAAACAACGGCGGGTTATCGTTGACATCGGTTATTTCGACGGTAAATGAACAAACACCTTCCAGCGAGGGCTCGCCCTGATCCGTCGCCTTCACAGTGACGGATACGAATTTGCCGTCGTCGCCTTCGCGATCGAACACCTGCAAATATCGTGTTTCTATCACCAAATGCGATTTTTTTTGTTTTTCTATAAAACACATAGACATTTTGCAAATTAAATTACAAGAACATTCACGTCTCGAACACAACAAAGTTAGGACAAAAAAAATTTACGTTTTCCGCAACTCAATAATTGAAAATTATTACACTTTGAAATTTCACGTCTTAATCACAAAATGCAAGATAACGATTGTTTGCGGTTAGCAGAAAAACAAATAGGTAGAAAAAAAATATTGAGAAAAAAACTCATAAAAGTTGCAACATCAATATCTTGTTGTCACAAAGAAATCTTTATGAACTTCCGACACGAACGGTAATTAATGTCAAGTGCTCGCGTGTTTATCGCGTTTTCTGTCAATGTGTGTATAAAAAAACCGGGAGAATATAACACGGAGGCAGAGAGGCCAAAGTTCAAAGATTGTCAGATACAAATTTTATATGTGTTTATATGTGTTTTCAGAATACTGATAACTGCTACTTTTCATGTGTTACCTTTTGAAAGGTTAACACGTTCAGATAAGTTATTTACGACTTCATTTTGTAAAACAAAGAAAAAAAACCGGAACTCGCTCTACTTCGAAACGATTGTGTTCTCGCGTTAACGCTCTCTCTCGTTCAACCAACTAGCGCGAAAAAACTAGGAGAAAAAAAATCAATAGAACACGAGGAGTACCTTGTTGGTCAAGACTTGACCAGTTTCCTCGTCAACGGTGAACTTGGTGCCCTTCTGATTGGGCTGCTGCACGATCGAGTACTTGACTTGACCGTTTACGCCTTTATCCTCGTCGGTGGCCTGCACCTTGATAACCGTGCTGCCGTTCGGCGCGCCCTCCTCCACTTTCGGATAATACATCCCGCAATCCTTGAACACCGGCTTGTTGTCGTTAACGTCGGTAATGAACACCACGACGACCGCGGTGCTTGTGTGAATGGTCTGATCGCCATTCGGACAGCAAGCGCCGTCGTCCAGCGCGGTAACGTTGAGCTCGTACTTGTCGCGATCAAGCGAGATGTCCTTGCCGTGAAGACGAATCACACCGGTGATCTCTTCGATCACAAACTGTCCGGACGTGGTGTTCCCGCCGACGAATCGGAATCGCACGTTATCGCCGTCCTTGTCGGAAGCGACGACCGTGGTGACCAGAGTGTTAGGCCCGGCGTTCTCGTCGACGTTGGGCGTGTACACTTGCTGGGAGAATTTCGGCTCCTCGTCGTTTTTGTTCTTGGTGTATATCCGCACCGTAGCCGTGCCGGTTTTCGAAGGCTCGCCTGAAAAACGCGAATCGTCTTAATCGTGGTGCTTCTTGCTTCAAGCAAGTCAATGCGCATCAAGGGGTCTCGCGAATATACAAACGACACGGGGTGTGTATATATATATATATTACGTTTAAATGAGCACGCGAACTATTCAATTTTTTTGAATACACGCGGGCGTTTAGAAATTAGCGCAACAACACGCGATACGTGACAAATGCGCGGCATTGTGAATTGTTCCCACAACGGAACCCCCCCAACGAGAATTGCGAAAGTAACAATGACATCGTTGATTAAACATTGCACATTACGAGAATCGCGCTATATTAATTTAAATTATTGAGCCCCGGATACGCGATATACATACACACGTTGCGATACTGCACGTCAGCCGGTATTTATCACAACGCCAAATTTCGAAATGCACGCATGAACGTGCGCAATATATAAAAGCGCGCGTGTTATTCAGCGTGCCAATTCAGCCACTTTATTTCCAATTAAGCCGCGACTTGTTTGAAAACCATCCCGTATTCACGAACCGTATATATGCAAATAACAAATTTGCGTTTACGGAGAGCTTTATCTCCTGCGCGCGCGAGAATCGCGCGGAGCTTGTTTGCAAAACCGAAATCCGCGAGATTTAGATGCTCGAGATCCTGATCCTCGCGACTTGCTGACAGAACGTTGGAAAAGAGAAGAGAGATCGATCTGTCACGTCCCGATCAGAAAAATCCCCCCGCGTGACAATGGCGAGCGTCGATTCGAAAATTTCTTCGTAACAAATATCGATTTACAAGACATTGCGATCGATTGATAAGTCGCGACAAATAAAAAAATTTACTAAGAAAGTAAATGATTAAAAAGCCAGAATTTTTTTAAAGGCCTGTATTTTTTTGTTAAAAAAACTTATAGATTTATTTTTATAACATACAAACAACGGAACGTTGTTGTTTCAATTTTGTGTTTTTATTTTTATGTGAATTAAAAATTATAATATATCAGATTCGATTAATTGCAAGCGACAATTTGTTCGTTAACGAATTTTTACGTTTAATGTCGCACGATATTTGTTATAATTTGTCACTTCTTACCCTTGTCTTTAGCGGTAACGATGAATTCGTAATACGCGTTGTTATTGTCAGCATCGAGTTGCTTGTTATTGACGATAATACCATTAGAGTCCACGCTAAAGTGATCGTCAGACACTAAATATTCTATTTCCGCATTCGCCCCGGAATCGGCGTCCGTAGCCTTGACTTTTAATATATTTGTCCCCAACGGGATGTCCTCGTCAACGTTGTGCGCCTGATAATCCGGCAGCTCGAACTTGGGCGCGTTGTCGTTCACGTCGGACACTCGAATCGTTAGCTAAAAAATAAAAGAGACCGAATTGAAAAACGCATTATCTTTCTCTCTTCGTGGCATTGGTTTTTTAACATTGCCGAAGAAATAAATTCGTTCACATTCAACAAGTGAAGAGAAAATCTCACGTATGCAGATACTCGCGAAACGGAGTAATATACTTTTGCCGCGGAGAGAAGAAAATTGTTATCCTTCCTTGCGGGGAAAACAACAAAGTTCAGAGGAACATAAATCCAGTTACCTCGACCGACGTCGAGAAACCACCAGAGTCCTCCGTCGCTGTCACTATCAGAGAATAAATGTGGGGCTGGCGCAGATCCTCGAAATCCAGTTCCTTCGCAAGTTTTACAATTCCAGAAGTAGGACCGATGTTGAACGTTCCCGCGGCTCCTTGACCTTGCGCCTTCAGCGTGTAGCGTATCTCCCGATCGGCGAACGACTTGGCTTTCACCGATATTATGCTGAAAAGTTGGAACACGTTGGTGACACGAACACGTTGTGTCTCGACGCAAGAGAACGTGACAGTTCGGGAAAATATGTGTATATATATATATATATATATATGTATATGTATATAAGAATACAAGCGCACAGGTGTGCGAGAATAAATTCCGACCAAAAAATCTGATCTTGACTTTGTCACGTGACGGTAACTCGCACGAATTCACGGATTGATGAAATTCGTGAGAGTTATCTAACAAGCAAAGACAAACAATTGCGTAAAGTAAATCGAATCGAAGTCAAACCGCGTTACGATATTCACAAACGCAAGCAATCTCGTGCTAACAAACAGATATTGGATGGTCGAACGTATAGGCAAGTGTAATCACGTAGAAATGATCAACGTTAACTCTCGTGTAAAGTTTGAAAGCAGTTTCCCGAAAGAAGAAACTGGCACACGTTCTGCTCGAGATTTGTTCAAACGTGTGTGTGTGTGTGTGATTATAGTGATTAACAAATAAATGTTGAGATAAAAATGTGAAAATTAGCTAGAAAATTGCTTGCTTCGTTCAGAAATTATTTCTATATATATATATACATATATATAAAAAAAAAATGTATCGCGTGAAAAAAAAAAAGATATTGAGAATTTTTCTCATTCGTGAGAAAGGAGCTAACTGGAATTGACTTGCGAAACTAACTCGGAGTCCTTCTTCTGATTTTCCGGTATCTCGGCCTCGTACGCCGTCATATAGAACTGCGGTGCGCGTTTTCCACCGACGATCGATAGTCTCTCCTCAGGAGTCGACTGGAAACGCCTCTCGTCGATACGACCGTTCTGATCCTCGGCTTTCACGTAAAGGACGTACTCCATATCCAACTGGAAGAGGTCGGTACCTCGAGTGCGCACCACCCCCGATCTCTCGTCTACCTCAAAGCGGCCGCCGGCTGCGTGTACACACACATGGCGGATAATTAATTAATTACGTAATTGAAGGAGCCATCGCGGGAGGAGTTGCGTTATCTCCATTAATCTCGGCAGCGAAGATCCCGCAAGGTTTCTCGAGCGTTAATTACACGACAATTCCGCGATTTCCAGATTCCGTTTGAATTGTGTCAAGAAATGAAGACAATTCTCGCGAGATAATTCTCGCGAAGAAGAGATTGCGTGAAAGCTGATGCGGTACAGAATCGCGATATAAAATGACAAAACACTAGGTAAGAAAAACGTCTAAATATTTTCTAATATATTTATGATGATCAAGAGAGTTGTGCGTTGTAAGTTGTGTAGCTGCAAATGCGAGCTTAAAACTTTTGTATTTAATTTTGCGAGAAGCGTCGAGAATAATAAAACGATAAATTTCAATTTAATATTTGATAGCGCGTAAACCGCCATTATATCCGTCAGTTTAACGTAGCGCGCCGCATCAGCGGAATTTTACTTTATATATTATGCCCGCGCATAATAAAAATTGTTTACGACACGGTCGTTGTGGGGAAAGCATTCGGCATAATGGCGTCATTACAATATAATCCCGTAAATTACGAAATACGATACTGGCTTGCTGCCTGTTGTCATCAGCGCATTTTCGACGAGAACACCGAGCGATTTCACGCCGCGCCGATATACACGTAGATTAATAATTAGATCATACAAGCGAGCGTTTTGCCAATGTTTTCCCCCACGCTCCGTATCGGTGCGTTACATCCGACACATATTTCTATCCTAATTAATGAAACATCGACATTGTTTCGATTGACAGAACATTTTCTCTCGGTTTTAATGAAAAATTTATTGGCGGATTTTCGATCAATGGTTTGTTTCTGGCAAAATGAGACAATTTGTTCTTTCTAATTGGCAAGTAATTTTACATTAATTACAAGAGAGCTTTTTGCAAATCATTTTTCTTCCATTGTGAAGTTAATTGCGATTTCGCGCGACGGACGTAAAAAAAACGGGACGAAAAGAAACTTCTTTGTTTTTTTTTAATTTCACGTCTTCTTGTTGTTTTTTTTTCTTTTTTCGTAAGAGAGTGAGATATTATCAAAATTCATTTTTTTTCTACTTTTTTCAAATGCTACGTGTGTATGAAAAACAGTTCATGTACATATTCCCGACGTGGAATGGATTATATTCGCATTAGAATCGCGTAAAGTTTCTAAGAGAAGTAAGTTTTCCTCGTGTGTGTGTGTGTGTGTGTATGTGTGTGTGTTTGATCCCTTAAGTTGAGTTTAATCACTTCTTTCATATCACGTGTTTCACCGGCGATACGCGACGCGCGAGCGTTATTGCTCGAAATATCGAATCTCGATTACTCGTGTTATTACGTACTTCGATCCCGCACGATGAAGTAATGGATGTTGTGGTCGGTGTCAGGATCCCTGGCCTGAAGGGTGAACACGTGGGTGTTCGGTGGTGCGTTCAGCTGAACGACCGTTTGCATCGGCAAAGGCCGATTAATGAAATACGGAGGCTCGTCGTTTACATCCTTCATGTTGATGATGACGCGCTGATTGTCGGTATCTATAACGTCACGTCAATTATCGCATACAGCACGACACCGCAAAACACTATTATAATGTCGATCGGCGTTGCCGGGATGCCACTGGCGTGTCGCGGAATTTTAATTGCTATTCCTCTGTTTCAATGCTTCGAAGATCAATGACTTGATCTTTGTGAAAATTCGCGTTTAATTAATAATTACACAATTCTATTGTTGCATATTTAATTACACAGGTTATATATATATATATATTATTATTTGTTTACTATTATATTATTATTTATTTTACGTAACAGAGATTTTAACGTGAGAAATATCAAGTTTTCTCTTTTTTTTTTTTTTTTTAATGCAAACACATAGAAAGAAATTAATTGCATAGATGCTGCATAATTTTCTTTATACCGTTGAGTACGCGTAAGCTAGTTAAGCTCTCTTCAAAATGAGAGCTCTAATTAGAATTCATTTGCCTCTCTCTCTCTCTCTCTCTCTTTCTCTCTTTTGATATTTCTGGCGCAAATATACCTTCTATATACATTATTCAGTTTTATTCACAAGTAGCATCGTGGCGCAGCACCGATCGACAAAAGTATAATTTATCCTGCAATCTCTAAAACGATAAGCGCGTGTGTAAGCAAAATGTTTTTTTTTTTTTTTTTTTTTCTACACAAGATGCTTTTACGTAGAAGTCATTCATATGTAATTATTCGTACGTAATTAAGAGATGTGAATAAGCAATATGAAAGATATTGGGATATATAGAATGTTACTTACATTGAAATCCTTTGGAAACCGACGGTGCGAAAAAAGAAAAGAGAGTCGGAATTATTATTGGAAAAATTATTTTAACGTGGGAACTATATCGCATTTGACAATTGCGGCAATAAATATTTCAAACATCAAGTTAAATCAACGCTTGTGAGGCGAGAGTATCACACGATGAAAAATATGTATTTCTTTAGAACTGTAATAATTTTTTATGAACATTTAATTTTATTATATACTATATATATGATATGATATATATATATATATATATATATATATATATATTTAAATAATTACATATTATATATTTACAAATTATTAGAATTTATATATACTTTTGTATACTTGTTGGAAATACTTTTTGCCGTATGTGTGTATTTATGATATTCTACATTACTACAAATTACTTGATGCCAATGTTCCTTTTCTCAGTTCACCTTTTGAAAAGCGATCACAAAAACCTCTAAACCTCTAGACCCCCGAAGATGAAGCGTGAATCAAAGAAAAGCGTGAATGTGTATGAATCGCGTGAGAAGTGCTAATTTGAAACTAATTTATATAAGCAATACTTATCAAAAATTGAAATTATACCGTCGTAATAAAACGGGCAGGGAACGCCGGGTGGATATCGCGCGCACGGCTCTTCATATAAGTGGAACACGACAAAATAAGATTAATTAAACAACATAAGAACAATCGAAAATTATTTTATGTCAAATTTGATAAGTTCTATCATAAATTTTATATAGAAACAAAAAGTGTTAAAAGTGTCGTAAACTATAAATATAACAATACAGCAAATTTAATTTAAAAAATTAATAACTTTTTTCCAGGAAAAATCGACACCAAGTTGGATCGACGATTCTACAGATAAGATTGATGAGATTCTTTGTGATAGTACCTGTACCTGTGTTCGTGATAGTAACCCAAAAATCAATTGTTTTTTCCGGACCCAATTCTTCGTAATCCCACTTTTGTTTGACCATAACAGAACCATTGGCACCCACGGTGACCCATTTGTTCTCATCTCTTATCTTATAGGTCTCTTTTTCATTTTCCTTCTCCAGATAAAACGCGATCTTTCCCTCGATGTTCCCGTCCGCCTCTGTGAAGTCTACCTTCTTCGTCGGCCTCACCGCTCTGGTGACCCTTCTCTTCTGTATCCGGTGAACCTCCGGCTGATCGTCCGGTTCCGAGGTGAGAAACCTCACGATGACCTTGGCCAGTTTCTCGGTGCTACGACTCGGCGTACGCAGGTCATGCGCTCCGACAACCAGCTCGCACTGGCTGTCCTGTTCCGCGCTGATTTCCGGTTCGCCGGCCAGCAACAGCTCGCCAGTTTGCGGCACGACGATCAGCAGACTGCTAGGCGTGACGAGCTTGTACGCGACTTTGTCCCCATCGGCGTCCTTGGCTGTGACCTTGCCCACCGTGGAGAATCTTTTCCAACCTGGCTGCGCGGCACTGCCCTTGCGCAATGTGTCCAGATTGGTCGGCCTGATCTCGAAGACGTACAAATCCCGCTCAAAGATCGGACTGTTGTCATTCTGATCCAACACGTGAACGATACCGCTGATCTTGGACGTGCTGATAAAGTTACCGTCCGACGCGTGTATGACAACGGTATAGATCCCGCAAACTTCGCGGTCCAGCGGTTTTGCGGTAACCACTTTGACGCCTTGCTTCTGACTCTTGAGCGTGAGATTGAAACCCGTCTCGTTGGACTCGTTCTCTCGAAGAGCGAACGGACGTTCCCCGTTGTCGTCCGGTAGGATTTTGTAGTGAACCGGGAAACTGCCGCGCGCCCGCAGAACCGGAAACCCGTCAATCCACGTGCCGGCCGGCGAGTTCTCCGGCACCTCACCTTCGCCCAGGCGATCATGCGAAAAGGTCAACATGTTGCGGCGATTAATGACGTAGAGGTGAAGATCGTGAGTCTGCGTCCCGTTGGCCAGCTCTTCCAGAACGATCAGGTTCACCGGTCGGTCCACTAACGGCGTCAAATCCGACGTCGTCATCACCAGGCCGTTGCCCAGGACGGTGAAATATTTGGAGAAACCGGTCTCCAGAAGGCGGAAGTTGGAGGCGCGCCCCGCGCCACCTCCCCGGAACTGCATCACCTCGTAACCTGGATAGACATCGTGCGGTAACACGGCCACCTTGGCATAGGTGACGGAAGTGAAGGCTGTTAGTAGGAAGACGATGACCTGTGTACGCCACATCCTGTTTTTCTTGTGCTGCTTTCTCTCTCTCTCTCTCACTCTCTCACTCTCTTTCTCTCGCTCTCTCTCTCTCACTCTCACTCTCTCTCTCTCACTCTCTCTCGCTCTCGATAAATCGATGCCTTTACTAAAACATCAGTGCTGACGCCACCTGAAAATAAAAAGATTTATCGGTTAATTATCGGTTAAAATGTTGAAACAATTTAATAATAAAATAATATAAATTTCTTTTGCAATATATTACAATACATTATAAATGTTATAATACATTTTAATGTTTTATAAATAACTCTACGCTCTGTGAGTTTGGAATAAAATAAATGTTTATGCGCGCATGAAACGTACACACAGTTACGAACTTATTTGTAACAGATGAATTGGCACACACAGCCGTAATGAAATGATGGATGATGATCCGACTTTGTGTGGATTTTTAATTCATTCCATTTTGGAATTTGAATAGCCGGGAACGTAAATTGATTATGGATGAACAATTTGCGCGTCTCTGTGTGTCGCGGCGACATTTAATCGCGTACAGTTGCACGCGCGCGCGCGCGACGCTCGCAACATGAGAAAGCCTTCGTGTATAACGTCATTAACGTGCCTCGCGCAAAAGCACATGACCCATGTTACGTATTGGAACGCGGCAAATTAACCTTAATTTTATTTTCTATCGGGTACTCCCTATATTCAGCATTTAACAGTCGCTTCCTGATATGTAGATTGTTGTGAGACACACGTATCTCACAGATGATTTTAACGTTCGTCTCGTCTTTTGTGACAAAGTGTGAAATTAAAAAATAAATTTAATTTTAACAAATTAATTTATTACGCGCTTAAATGCGCACAATTGGAGATATGTATATAAAATATCGAATATTTGTATAATGGTTCTCGAGTTCATTTTTAATTTCTCGCGGTTTTTATTCAATTACTACGAGACGAGATGTTGTTATCATTCGCATAAAATCGGCATTTCGAGAAGCGCTCGCAATTTCGGTATTATGATAATATTCCGAGATGGGAAAAAAGCACCGTAATTTCTAAAGATACAAGCTGCATGTAAAACGGTGCAAATAGAGAGTCGTATGAATGATAATTCTACGTTTATGGAAACGACTAAACCAAAGTTTTCAGTGTGCAATGATAAATTGTAAATTTTACGAGCGCCCGCATTTAAATCGCGCTTATTCGGAGAAAAATGAAAATATAAAATATGCAGAATCGAAAAAAAAAAGATTGTGACACGCTTGATTTTTAAAGCGTGTGTATAAAAAAAATACACAAATGCGCGCATAAATTTTACTAAATTTTCCATTAGAGATAATATACGAGAGATAGTACATTTTTTTTTTATACAAGAAATAATATATTTTTATAAAACACAATTATATTGTTATAATTATATGTGTACAGTCTTTTAATCGTATAATTATCGATCAAAGAAAGTATCTTGTTCGAGAGAAAGTGAATCGAATTGTGCATGAAAATATGACGAGCATGTATACGCCTTTGGTTGTCATATGCCGCGCAGGATGTGATGAACAATGTCCGCACATTGCACCGGAAATAAGAACCGGCGCGCGTACGAGTTGACCATTGTCATTTAGTGACCCTCCGTTCCATTTGATTCTATTCACGCCCCAGAAGGACCGGATGTGAGGTCAGCCGCGGCTCGTTTAAGTTCGAAACCGCTCCGACAACCGTACGAAAAAAAAAAAAAAAAAATAAAAACCCAAAAAAAGATATGTGCGAACATAAACGTCTTCGTGATATAGTGCGGCTGAAACATGAACCGCAATATTGGACTCTTGGCTCCGCATCGCAATATCACATGAACTAAGAGACGTAGATTTACTTTCTTTGCGGTTATCGGTTTCTTCGGGAAAATGTAAGCTCGCGGAGAAAATTATTTCTGTGATAAAAGTGAAAAATTGCGCAAGGGGGGATTTTTCTTTAGGGAGAAGTGTATGCGCAAATTGAAAAGTAGGTATATATATATATATATATATATATATATATATACGCGCGAGCAAAAATTTTTTTAGGAAAAAACTTCTCTTCCGGAGAAATTAAAAGTTTTGAGAGTCGCGCGATACATTTACCGCGCCGAATTACAAAGTGCGTTTCCGGGAAAAGTGCATTTCCGGAAAACTGCTTCGCGCGCAATTTCAACCAGTTTACGTATTATATTTCGGACTCTTTTTCTCTCTCTTTCCTTTTTTTTTTTTGTTTTTTCTTCCGGCAGCAGATTTTATTCTCTTACGTAGTTGCAAACAGAGATACGAGATAACGCGCTTTCTGAAAGCGCTCATTCGCTCATTCTATCAACTGTTGCGTTAATGGCACGCGAATTTTCCGACGTTGCACGCAACGATAACAAGTTTGCACGTGTGTCCCTTCGCACGGCGTGCGACGCAAACTGCCACTGAGTGCCTTTGTGTGCAGACGACCGCGTATTTGTAACAAGAACAATACCACAGAGTGTTTTCAAGAACTCAATTTACCGTGCAGCAACTGTTTCTAACAATATATACGAATCCCGTATCCCCCGGCAGCTAGTAAGAGTTCGCAATCTCATGGATGTATCCCGGGGTCTCTCGATACTCCGCGCGCGCAATCTAAATGGCCAATTCGAAACCCGAACAAATTGCTGCCCGCAATGTCTAAATTAAAAGCCCCAGAAGAGTCTCCATTTAGATGTTATATTCCGTTCCCGTAATCCCAGACGAAAATGGCAAGTACCGGATTTCATTCGATAATTCTGTGCACGTGTGTCGATATTCGCTATTTATTATTGCAGTATTATCGATTTGTCTTCTCGACAGAGAAGAAACTTGACAACTCTGAATCGCATCAGGTGGCAGCGATGGTGCGTCTCAACTTGATCTACACCGTGTCATTCGTTCTATCTATCAGCCGTCGCGTACAAATCTCCCTTCTTCTCTCCTTCGTCTCTTTGTCTCTCAACGTTCCCAATCTTCCAGTCATCTCCCCCGAGGTCTCTCCTGTCTCGAGAAGTCGAGACTTCGAAGTCCCTCGGAGGGACAGGAGTCGAGGGCCCCGCCGCGGTGTGGGGGAGCAGATGCTCCGCTCCGCACAAGCCTATATTATACGGTTAAGTCCAACGAAACACGACACCTAATCCCTCCTCGAAACGTATTAAGTGACTGCTTTCAGCTGGGACAGAGCCGGATTCTCGAGCACGGAAAACGATACATCGCGCGCGCGCGCGGGCGTCTCTTAAAAAAATATATATATAAGAGATTCCGGCTTATTCCGCCGTGCTGACCATGCGAGATCGACGACGATGCGGATGCGCCCGCATAAGAAAATTATATCTCGCGCAATATTCTTCTTGGAGATACAGTCGGAACAACGCGTCTCGAATTTTTCTCACGAGAAAACAGCGTAATCTCCGACAGGTGCGCTTAATCTATTCGAGATGATTGTTTTTTTTTTTTTTTTTTGTTTTTTTTTAAACTGCACGAGAAAAAGCTGATTCTTTAATTTGCGTAATGAAAGATATGTTATTAATAATTATTAGTGATGTATAATGCGTACTCTTCACGTGGTATAAGAGTGTGTGATATTGAAAATTACATAACACCTGACAGATATAGAAATATTTTATACAGACATTCGAAATCGCATCATTATTTTCACAATTTTCTTCAATCGCAATTATCTATTAAATCATCGCGTACTATCAGAAATCAATTATTAATCCGTTTTTGTTTCGGTTTCTCTTGATGCGAGACCTGGGGAATATCGATCGTCAACATTTGTTACGTACTTTCGAATTAAAAATGGATAAAATCAACCGGATTAATTAAGAGAGAGATAATTGTTTGGAAAAGTTATCGGACAGAAAGCTCTATGCACTGCGCATAACAATAACCGATGCAATTTCGCGAAAATCAAAATGTGTTGCACACAAACAAAAGACACATATATTATGTGCAATGAATGCTTTTATTTTTTTCTCCTGCGAGGACAATTATTGTGTTGAATCTAATTGAGAGAATGTACTTACAATTTATTTTTGCTTCTTTGTCGTTTGTTTGCTTCGTTTTTTTCTTTCTCTCTCTCTCTCTCTCTTGCGTGGATATAGATATTTAGAAAGTAAATCGAACAACGCGAAACACTTCCTTTTGCGCAATTAAGTACTTAAGCAAAGTGGAACGAAAATTGAGCATTTACTACTTATAACCATTTACGAAATCAAACGATGCCATTCAATTAATCTCCATGTGTGTAGCTGCGCAACACACACACACACACACAAAACGTAGTAGATATTGACAAGATTGTATCTTTTGAGTGGAAGGTCGTTGTCACAACACAACGAACAGAACTTCGGCGGTGTGTTTGGAGATCGTAATACGATCAAAATGGGACAAATAACTAAATTATCGCAAATGCTAAAACAACGCCACCGTATGCATATTAGTTTTGCGCGAGTTTATCTCAGTAATTCTGACAAACCGTGATTTTCGTATGTAAACCATTGCCAAATGTATTGTCGTATCAAACCGCGGCACATCTCCCTAATGCCACCTTATTTCTAGTTCCGTTTTGCACGTAGAGATAAGAGCAAAACGAGAGAGAGAGAGAGAGAGAGAGAGAGATGCGCGAAATTAAGGGGAAAACTTCGCTCCATCGTAATGCCGGCAATGTCCCCGTGCGCCGTGACATGCAAATACAAATAGCAATAGTGCATGCATAATGCACGAGAGAAAACCTAAAATTGTATTTCCGCAAAACACGCAAACGTGTTCGACGCTCCAATTTTAGTTAGCAACTCAATTTATATATCAGCAAAATGGAGTTTCTGATTTCCATCTTATATCTCTGTTTTCTCAAGACAAAGAAGACGTTTTGATCGTCGAAAAATTTTAATGCCCCCGCTAAGAAACAGCCTGTTTTTTTTTTTAATTAATTTTATGTACATATTTCCATTTAAACGCACATATCTGTACAAATAGAAAATATTTAATTATTTTAGTTTACGGCGAGAAATAAGTCATCGCGAGCAATTTCGTCGAATCGCAGAAACTTGAGGGTTTGCTTGAAGGTTTATCCTTAATTTTCTTGCAGGAAGATTTCTCTCTCTCTCTTCGTCAGGAATGTTTAACATTCCTTCAATAT